CCCAAAACCCCAAAACCCCAAAACCCCAAAACCCCAAAACCCCTTTATTTTCTACTCTAATTGAAACCAGGAAGTAGAACAAGGTAATTTTTCTAAATGGTTAGTGCTTTGGCTTATGACTTTTCTGGAGTTACATATATTCTCTGAACACATTTGCCCCTTTTTCTTTGTATTCTTCCTTGGTGACCCACAGATCGTTGAATGCTTTGAGAGATGACAAGGTTGAACCTCCAACCCAGGTTGAGATGTCCCTATGAAGAGGGTGATTTATGTAACTTACCTATTCTTTGGAGCAACAAGTTTGATCTTGACGTCTTTGGGAGAGAGCTTTGTGATTGATTTATGTAATCTTTCAGCAAACTTTTTCAATGCTGATGTACCTCCTGAGACAATCAAATTGCTGAAAATAGTATTCCTCAGATCAATATCGCATTTCATCACACAATTAATTAGCATTTCTGGAATTCCTGGATACTCAAGACCAATTTTCTGAGGAGTGAAGAGAATCTCAGGAGCTTCCATATGCTCATTTTTAAGATTGAGGATACTTCCATCTGGTAAGAAATACTCAATATTTGTACCTTTTAGATGATCCTTATATTCATCTTCTCTGAAAGGACTAGTGGTGGCAGTTCATATCTTTTCTTTGATTTGTCTCACAATTTGAAACTCTGCAGAAGTATGGAAGTTATATCCAGCTCTTTTCAACAGAAGCATGAAGTATTCGGTAATATCTCTGCCTCCAAGGTCAATTCTGCTATATGCTCCAGTAATTGCAAATCCTTCGACTATCGGTACACACTGGGTGACTCCATCACCACAATCTAAAACAAATCCTGTTGTCTTTCCTTGAGCATATAGAGACAAAACTGGCTGTGTCTGAAAGTATAGAGCCGGTGCTCCCATCCCTTCAAAGAAAGCTTCAGCTGTTTTCTCTCTATTAATCATTGGATTCTCAATAGGTTCTGACAGTAATACAGGGTGTTGACTTGCTGACACCTTCATCTCCTTGAATATATACCCCCATATTTTCTCCATGTCGTCCCAATTAGTCACGTTTCCATGGGTCATTGGGTAGCTCAATTTATATAGCCCCTTATGCTTCTCTCATTCTGGGCCTAAGTACAGATCCAGGTCGTTAGTGGTCAGCATCTGTTTGCTATATTTAGTCCTTCCGACATAATTATTGAAGACCATCTTTGGTCTTTCATCGCCAGAGAATCCTGCCTTCATGATGCCAGACCCATTGTCAATGACGATCGGTTGCTTGCTGAATAGGGTTTCAATGCCTGATTCCATGGTTTCGGATTTCAAAAATTATTAAATAAAAAGGGGTTTTGGGGTTTTGGGGTTTTGGGGTTTTGGGG